CAGGGAAAAATGAAGAATAATTCCAGACAAAAACTGAATATCATGGGAAAAAGACAGTCACCCCCCTGAATTCAGATCAATTTCATTTTGCTCTTTCAGGAACTGTAGATAATCTGATCAGTCCAAGAGTAACACTATCAAAACAATAATTTTGCATCTTGTAACTATTTCATCTCTTTAACGTGGAATTTCAAAGCATGATCACTCTGATGAACAGTAGATTACATGAATATGCAATCTTCAACAAAGTTGTATCGGGTTTTTCACCCATGTCCATTGTATATTATAACCTGCAACTTGAATTAAAATATTCACAGCTCACTGGAGAGAAATGAAAAATTGATTAACTTGGGTATTTGGGGAAAATACATAATTAGAAAAATGGGAATTATGCAGTCTGGCCTGAGAATGCGTTGCTGAGAGGTGAAGGTAAGGAGGAGGTGCCCAAAGCATAACTCCCATGACACACTGTGGTGGCACTTCTAACTGCAGTGTTTGCTTTCTCAGACAGGAGGATTCTAGTAATAGCAAAAAAACAACCAACCAACCAACCAACCAAAAAAAAAAAACCAAAAAACAAAACAGAAGGAAAATGCAGATTAGCAGTAGGAGGGAAGATTCTTCCCTTGTGGCTGTTTTTATCCAAAATTGCTTTCCCTAAACAGTTTCCCAAGAGTTTTATGTATAGATAAAAAGGTTCACATTTTTAGTGGTTTTAACTGTAGCTGCATACATGTTGTGTTTTCCTTATAATAATGGAAATATAGAATCTATTTTTTCATGAGAAGGGTTAGAGAATCTCAAAGTCCTGAAAGGGCTGTGCTTCAATGGAGAAAAAACAAACAAAAAAACAAAAAAAAAATCCCAAAACCAAACCAAAAACCAAAGCAGAGTTCAAAAGAAGAAAGGATACTTCAGATCAGTCTGGTGAGATGTTACTTTAAAATTTTCTGTGCTTTGAAAATCGTAATCCCCTGGGGTAATGAGATGTTATTAATATTAATGCATAAAGAAATAAAGATCTGCCATGCATGTAGACCTCATATATATAGGCTACACAGAATGTCACTTTCACAGTTTCAAACTCTGGAACTTTAAAACATAAATAAATAGCTCATTAGATGTCTAAGAAGTTTCTGCTGATTTGCAGCTGCTTACGAAGTATGGCATAGATTTGCTGCATATAAAGAAATATTTCTAATTCAGATAATAATGTGTTTGGGTTTTTATTGCAGCAGTAAGCTCTTATTCACTTGACTCCTCAAGGTTTCCTTAAAGTGCACAACCTCACAAATCTGAAAAATAGTCACAGAACAGCTAAAGGAGATTGGGTTTGAAGCAGAGTGGTTGCTTAATGTTTTACTTGCTTAAGAATTATCCAGAATGATAAACATCATCTCCTTTTTTGATTTTGATTTTTTTTCTGTTATTCTCTGCAGCACAGGTGATCTCCAAGACCTTCAGCAGTTGAATGCACCATCAATTTTTAAGCGTCATTGTCATGGCCAAACAGAATAAAAATCCCTAGACATATTTTAAGCTTAGAGAAAGAGATGCTGAAAGCTCACAATGTCTTGGAAATACAATCTGCAGCATTTGACTGTGCTTTATGCTTTAAATGTGTTTTAAATACCCTTCCCTGTCTGACCTGCTGCTTTGTTTAAGCTTTTTATCTCTTGACCTGACATGATATAAATTGATTTGAGACACCAGTTTTCTGCCCAGTTTGTTAATTTAAACTGCTGATCGCCAAACTACTGTAGGTGCAAAGCAGCTTCATCACAACTAAATTTGAATTTGAGATTGTGAGTGAGCATCCTGAGCCAGTTTGCTGTGTGAAATTTTGTCTCGCTGACCACCTCTAGTTTCCATACTTCCCTTCCTCTTCCAGTTTCCATACTTGTATAACTACTGCAATGTTTGCCAAAAAAATACAAAAATACACAAAAAATCTATTTAATGACAGGACTGAACACCTTGATGACCTTTCATTCATGATTAATGTGGATATTTCTGTTTCCAAGGCATAAGACTGCTAAATGGGACATGACTGTTCTTTATTATAGTCTCTAGTACCTTCTATTGCTGGATCATTAGCAGAATGGTTTTCTCCTTCTTGGTGATTATGGCTTTTGTGGTTGGTGTCATCCATATATTATGATGGTAGTTTTATGTTCCAGTGGCAAAGTAAATTGAGGTCTCTGTATCTGTTCTTTCTTGAATCTGCCATTTGCCTGATTGTTTCATCGTCTTCAGATGCCTCACAGTTGTGAATGGAGCTGATTTATAGTCCTGGACAGGCTGTTTAAATCACATGTTGAGGGCAAGTAAAGACAAACTGTTTCCCAAGCTGACAGACACTAATGAACAATTATAAATGTTTTCTTTAGTTAAGGAATAGTTAAAAAGAGAGAGACAGATCCTCAAACAGCGGGGTGGAGTGGGGGGTGAGTTTCTTAAGAAGCTTCTCTGGATCCCAATGCAAAATGTGATAAGAAGATGTTTTGAGGAAGTTAAGGTGATTTAGGGAATTAATTGTTGAAATGGTTAAAATTCCTAATATGCAATTCTTAATGGAGCAGTAGAAGCTAGATGCAGGAAAAAGGTAGAAGAAGTAAGGAAAGAAGCATCTGAGAAAGAGAAGAGTTCTATTGAGAAAAAAATGTAATTGTTGAAGCTCAGCTGTGCCTGATCAGGGGACTTGAAGATAGTATGTCAAGAAGGTTCAAAGTGATAAGAAAACAGAGATTTTTAACACTAAAGTTTCTGCCTTTTCATTTTCCAGAAAAAGGAGAAAACACAGCAATTATTACAAAGATTATGCCTATATCTTACTATACCTTCATCCTCTAGAAATCACTAATTATTAGTATCTCAGCATAAAGAAAAAAAAGCAACAATTAAGTAATCACAGATTTTAATGGTAGCAAAATTACAATTACTCTCTTCCTGAGGAAAAAATAAAACTTCATTCCAATAAATTCCAGTTATATAAGAATATGGGCAATTACACTACTGAAGAAATCTGTGACAGAGAGTAGGCACTAGAAAATATCTATGAAATATGATTCTCATTCATAGAGCTTTCTGAACTGCAGAACACCCACTGGGCAAAATCAGCTGCAGATTGGTCTTTCTATATCATGGAAATAATAGAAAATGGGACTAGAGGGGAGTGTGAGTGGCTATCTAACCTCCGTGCTAAGGCAGATGAGTAATAGCTGAAAATTTCTGGCAGACTAGCACAGCCCATACAATGTGATAAATGTGTTTTGGGGTCTTAGTTTATTTGTCTGTTTGGTTGTTTCTAATTTGTCTCTTAGTAGGACAGAAAAATGTGTTACCAACTGTATGCAAAACTCTGTTCTTAAAACAGCCAACACCAGCGGAACACACTCAACTTCATTTCCTTTTGCATTTATTTAATCATAAACCAAAACAAAATTCAAATTCAAATTTTGACGAAGTTGATTCAGGGAAAAGGGAATCCAATTGATTGAACTTTTCTCACCAAGTGTTCCAGGATTTTGGAAAAAAAACCTGCGTTTTTTCTGTTTCTGCGGCACCTTTTCAGTCTCATGGACGTGAGCAGAGGGTATGGGAGGAAAGCAGCGGTCGTCATTGCCCTTTGCGTTTTAAAGGAAACTTTCTGCAGTGAAGAGAACATCCACGCCAACAAACTCTGCCATTCACGGAATGCGTTCCTGCTCTGTGTGGCATGTGTATCCGTCCTCAAATGTATTCACGCAGATCAAAATATTCCGCATTGTAGTATCTGCGTTCAACAGATGGAGCATTTGTCCGTTATCTGAGTAAAAGACAGTAAAAAAAGGCAGTAAAAGCAGTAGCTTGATGGAGGCTGATGCGAGCGAGTCTTCAGCGTTACGTTTATACACTCAGACGTCAAAGATTACCCTGCCCGACCCTCCACTTCGGATCACTGCTGGTTTTTTTTACGCCTCATGATATGAGATGTAGAAGGCAGCAGAGCCGTGTGTGCGGAGGGCGTGCGATGGGGAAACAGGGGACCCCGCTCCCCCTGCCACAGCAGTGCGCGCCCACTCCGCGCCCCTGCGAGCTGCCTCCCGCCCCCCGTGCCCTGCGTGTTTTCCGTGGTCTTGAGCTCTGGGTGCTGTTCACGAACTCTGCTCTTTGCTGGTCATTTAAGGAAAGGTATTTATTGTAAAAATCAGCCGAGAAAGTGCATGTCAGGAGAAATGTTGCTCAGGAGCGCTTGCTCTCTTGAAACCCTAGCTGCTGGCTTCTGGCAAGCTTTCTTACCAAGTAATAGAAGTCTCGCCCTGCCGGGTATCAGAATTCTCTTCTGCATCTATGAAAAATCTCTGCCAAGTGTCTTTCCCGTTATCTTTCTCCATCGCTCTTTCACATACAGACTTCTCTATGTAGTCTTTTTTCCCGGCTGCTCGTGCCCGATGTAATCCCTCTGCCCATGCCTAGAGTTATACCATGGCCCACACTCCCCTGCCCAACCCCTGTTTAACACCCATGCCCAAGCCCGCTGTGTCATTCTCTCCCCGTTTCTGCCCTCGCTGCAGGGAAAGCTAAGACAAATCACAGACAAAGCACATCAGACGGCGGCCGCAGGAGGACCGCGGACACAGCGCGCGTCAGGGGTCCCACCAGTCGGCGGTAACTTTTTTTTTTAATAACACTAATACTCATGATATCTTATTTCGGGGCTTTTCCAGATCAGAGGATAACTCCCTTTCGGGAAAAGCCGGTTCCAGCCGCCTCCCGCGGCTGGAGATGCGGGGCTCCGCATGCGTCAGGCGGTGAGTGGCGTCGGCGGTAGCGGGAGCGGAGAGGCGGGGAAGGGGCAGCGGGAGAGATGGGGGCGGGGGGGCATGAGGGGTGTGGAGGAGGGAGGGAGCTTCATCAGGAGGAGATGTCGGCATCGTCGTGACATCACCTCGCGGCTTATATAGTTGGGAAAGGGTCTGGGTGCCCCGTCTGGTGCCTGCAGCCGCCCGCCAGCGCGTGTGCAAGAGGACGCGGAGCGAAGCGGCGCTGCTCTGTCGGTCGGTCGTTCAGTCTGTCGGTCTGTCTGTCTGTCTTTCTCTCTCTCTTCGTCTCTCCCCAGGATTTATGGACTTTACTTTCTAGAGGGCGGCGCCGCAAGGATGAGAACCCAGCTGTTGTGTGTCATGCTGCTGGCCTTGGCCTCCTGCAGCTTCTGCTCAGGTAAGCGTCCCGCTTCGCCCTCCGAAGACCCCCCGGCTGATGCGCACTGAGCCGCTCCGCAGTCTCCACAGGGACTTGGGAAAGGCAGGTGAAATCGGTTCGGGCTGCAGCGGTTGTGCCCTCTAGGCGCCACGGAGCTGGCCCTGGTAACCGGCTCTGGTCAGCATCGCTTTTTTATATACCTGTCATACTTTCTCCCTTCAGCTACACCGTTCCTCCTCACAGCATCTGTACCATGGGTAGACTAGACATGGGAAATATAAGTCAGTTTAGACCATCTGCTCGCTTATGTCGGTTCATTTGCGATTTATTGAATACCATGCATTTCCAAACTGCCCTAGAAATTATAATTTCAGCAACTCATATGAATAGCTACCATAATCCAATCCAACTATATACGCACTTTAGTCAACTTCCAGAAACAGAAATACAATTTTCGTATCCTGGGGAAAAAAATGCTAGCAACTGATCTGAAATTATGACAAAAAATGATGAATCAGATGCAGATTACACAATAGGAAGGTTAATGTAAATGCATTTCTGATCTCAGAGCAATTGCTTTAGAAACCTTAAAAAAAAAAAAAAATAAGAGAACCATACATTAAAACACATTGCCTGCTCCTTTGGAAAATGACACAGCTAAGAGTGTGTCATTTATGCCCTGACTTTACAACTAAAAATAGGTATGGTGGGATTAAACAGGTGCACACACACAGATATGAAGCAGAATGGGCTTTAAAATCCCATTTTAACTAACTTGCAAATTACTTTATTTTCTAACTCCATGAAATTTAAGGAGTAAATTTACAATACCTTAGGTTTTTCAGCCTCAGTGGTCAGGAGGACTCTAAATTCCTAATCTGCACATTAGATGAAAGTTTGAAATTTGTATTCCCCTGCAAAAAAAAAAAAGTGTAACACACATAATACCTACATTTTATCACAGTTTAAACAATCATTCTGTATATTGTAGAGAGCTGGTGATTTTAGTGACAAGACTTAATATTATTTTCTGCCCATGTTTAAAGCTTTTTAAGCAGGTAAAAAAAACCAAAAACCGAACAAAAAAAACAACCAACCAACCAAAAACCAAAACAGGTGAAATTAAAATAGGCTTATAAAAACACCCAGAAACAAAATTGTAGGTGTAATTGCCATAGTGGTTTATTTGTTTGAAAATGAAATTTTATATTCAAATAAGAAATGCCATAGAGAAGCTTGTGTGGAAGGGCCAAATCAATTTTGACAAATATGGACAGTTATGTCATAAAGAAAATGATAATACATTTTAATTTTCTTTTGAAAATGTTTGCCTTTAGGGGAAAGTGTGTAACTGTAAAATGTAACTATTCCTGTAGAACATATTAATAGAAGCTGTATATCTTATCAATAACAAGTTACTCAAGAGGACATCAAACCGTGTCTTTCCCTCTAATATGAGCAATAATAACCAGACTTTTTTACATTTCTCTCTAAGAGTCTTGAGAGTCTGCTCTTTTTATGCCTTTACTCCTTATCTGCCTCTTTCACTCCTGAATTGCCTGAATGTGTTCCCTTCTCCTCCAAGCTTTGCTTTATTCTTCACTCGAGGGATCTTGACCAGCCTCTTAAATAATGTCTTCCAGAGTTCTTTTCTCAACTGAAATGTTTTTAAATTCTTATCTACCACATCTGCAGCTGTCTTCCTACCTTGATGGTGTATTGAAGGTACCTTCCATCCTCTATGGAACATGAAAAAACAGGTGCTAAGCAGACCAGTACTTTCATTGTCCTCAGCTGGTATGACCCAGGACACCACAAATCATGATGCTGTCACAGTGTGACACCATTCACAGGAGCTGCTGCTACCACTAGTTGAAATTCAGCTGAGGTGACCTTGTGTTGCCAGCAGAACTTTTGCTGATGGTAAAGCAGTTAAGATATTAGGTAATGCTGACAACCAGTAGTGCTGAAAGGACTGAAAGGCATTAATGTGGAGATTAGTTGCTAATGGCTTGCTGTAATACTGATCTACAAACCAGCCTTATTTAATGTTTTCAATAACAACTTCAGTGTAAAAAATAAAAGTGAATGAATGTGGTGTGCTGGTAATGCAACGGTGACCAGGAGCATCACTACAGAGGAAGGTCAGCATAATGCCAAGAAGTTTTTGATGATCTAAATAATGAGAAGCCGTGCAACAGTACAAAATGCAATAGCTTAGGGAGCAGTAGAAGTAACCTATTTAATTTTCCTTTTAACAGAAGCACAGTGATTGAAAATGTCTAATGAGATAAAAGACTTGACCTTTTTGTTTGTTTTTTTTATGAGATACTAATTTTTTTCAACCATAAAAAAAAAAAAAGTAAAAAAATGCATGAGAGCTACTTCCTGTAGCTAATGGTAAGCATTAAGGTAGTTAAGTACTGATGCTTCTGATCCAAGCTGTATTATGCTTTGCTGTCTTCAGATCAGAGCAGATACAGAGGAGGGCCACTCTGATGAGCTAGGGAATACAGTGCTATTACAAAAGAGGAGAACAGGTGAGAGTTTAGTAGCCCTGTGCATAGCCATTCAGTGAAGTATTTATTGGTTTTCCAGGGAATGTTTTTTTTTTCTAAAAGGCAGAATGATCTTGTATTTATCTGGTAATCGCTGCATAAGCACACCCTAAAAATCTGAGCTGAGAAAGGGCTGTGATTGCTCTCCAAAAATACATGAGTTGGGTAAATATCGCAATTAGAAAGACATCACTTATGGTGAAGGAAGTTACGTACAAACCATTAATAAATTTGTAATTAGAAATAAATTCGGCTTAAAATTAGAAGAAGGTGAATAATAACTGAAACTTTGGAAAAATTCCCCAAAGAAGAAACATCGTGGTGCTAAGATTAAGATTGATCATGATTGGTTTTTAAGAGCAATATAATGGTTGGCTTTCTGTGCTATCAGAATGAAGGCATAGGCAGAATTTATCCAATGATTCTGTGGGCTTAAACAGGGGAAGTTCAGGTTAGGTATAAGAAGTTCTTTACTGTGAGAGTGGTAAGGCACTGGAACAGGTTGCCCAAAGAAGTGATAAATGCTCCATCCCTGGCAGTGTTCAAGGCCAGGTTGGACAAAGCCTTGGGTGACATAAGTCTTGGGTGAGGCATCCCTGACCCTGGTAGGGTAGGGTTGCAACTAGATGATCTTACGGTCCTTTCCAACCCTAACCATTCTATGATTCCATGACTTCTATGAATATGGAATTGATTATGATTTAGTTTGGTTTAAAGTATAAGAAAGTGTATCATTTGGCTTTGGACTGCTGATATTCCAGGAAAGCTAAAAGCCGTGTAGAACTCTGTTTTGTCTGAAGCCTTATCTGATTTGTTTGTATATTATCTTTGCGCTGTGATTGTTTCTACATTTTCAAGGCCAAATCTTCCTTCTGCTTCTGTACAGCACAAGGTAGAAAAGTTTGTGGCTGTTTTTCTAAAGCAATTTATAACCTATTCATTAAATCACAGATCTTGCAAGTCTGCTGAGCTATTAAAGGTCAATTAAACTAGTAAAAAAAATCTGAAGTTAGAATACTTTCTTTTGGTGTATGCATTGTCAAAAGCTTGTATCACAAACTGATGAAGCTAATTCCCTCATATCAGTAAATATATTTTTAATTTAACCAACAATAATTGAGACTAAATCCTGTACTGTAATCACAACTGCCATTCACGTAAATACTTAGCTGCTACTTAAGTAGATATTATTTGAAAATAAATATACAAAATCTTCAAAGTAAATAGAGGTGACAAATAGCAATTATGAAACCCATACTGAGTTTTGAATGAAGAGTATTTCAGCAGTTTTGTTTACTGAAAGGGCTGCACTGAAGAGAGATTACTGAATTGATTCATTCACTTCAGTAAGTTTGATCATGCTTTAAAAAGATAGTATCTATTTTAGCATAGTGTCATTGCTGCCTGAAGACTCCTCACAGTAGATCGCTCTGCTGTGTTTTTATCAAAAATGTTTGTTCATTTGTTTGGGTTTTATTCAGTTAGTTTTCAAAACTAAGTGATATATCTAAATTCTGTATGCTAATTTGAAATGTTCATAATTTATGATGAAATAATAAACATATGTTTCTGGTTTATTCCCAGATTCAGAAGAGGAAATGAAAGCGTTAGAAGCAGATTTATTGACCAATATGTACACATCAAAGGTAATTGTTTTTCCTCTGACTGGTAGAGAGCAAATGAATTTCATTACAAACACAGAAGTCTCTGCACAAAGTAATAACCTATGGTCTAGAGCAAAAAGTTCAGTGCTAGACATTACTTTGGTGCAAGATTTTTTCCAGTTCAAAGGAAATTTAAAGGTGTTGATGTGACACACTAAAAGTGCTCCTCACTTGTAACACTGGTTCTTTCATTAAACTGTCAAAACTGTCTTATGTGCAGAGATGTAAATCTGTTGGAGGAAATGTGTTTCCAATAACATTATGTGTGATGAAAGCTAACTTAACCTTGCATCAAATCTGTAAGTGCTATATTTATGCAGAATTTTTCCTATATGCATATAAAACTAAGACAGTCATAATGCAAAACCTGTTAATACTTATGCTGATTTTGGTTTAAGAATTTAATCACAGTTTTAGCACAGGAACAGGGGGACCTGACTATGAAAATATTAATCCGATAAATGGCATTTCCTTGACAAGTCCCCAGACTGTGAACAATGTACATGTTATTTAATACAAATAGACAAAAATTCAGTTCCAGTCTCATATTGACAAGGTGAAGCAGCATGTGTTGCACATATCTATTGAACAGGCTGATAGACAAACACTTTCTTAACAGTGTTGTTTTCCACAAATGATCTAAGGTACATATAGTTTAATATTTATTCAGCAACACATTAAAAAACAAACACTGAAACAAGTGCCATGATCTTAAGTTTGAATGCTTTATTCCTTTGTTCTAAAGGAGTTCAAGTTAAATTCAAAGGAAAATAAAATGAGAAATGAAAATTTTTTCCCTAAAAATTTCGTAAGTCAATGACTAGTTGAATGTTAGGAAGAAAACCTGCCTTGAAGACTTCCGTATTTACTGTATTTGCTTGTATGTGAGCTTTTTCACAGGATTCTTTGAATAGACTAGAATAAGACTCTAAGAGAATAATGAGGCCAGAAAACACATTGTTTTGATCTGATCTGGCAGTTCTTAGGTTCCCATGTTCCTTACTGGCACGGTAATTAACCTTAGATGCTAAATAAACCTGTTTGCCATTTGCTCCTTTAAAGTACAGAAAGATTAATAAATATTCTTTTCTTGAGACAAATATAAATTTAGAAGGCTGACAAAAGTAGTTCTTTCTCTCTGTGGCCAAGCATAGTATGCGTTGGAGAAAACCCTACGGCTGTTGGTATTTCTGTTACTGACTTCAGTAGAACTGTGAACGTAATCTCCACTTCCATCTTTTCCTCTCTCTCAGCACAGAGCACAATCTCAGGTAACTAAAAATGCATAGAGTGCACCAGCTGATAATGTAGTGGTGTTTGTGATAATACTCTTTTATGTCGTTTTACACTGTGTAGGTTGCACTCAAGTTTTTTGTGGTATATACCATAAGTCATGTGACACCTGAAGTTGATATAAGCAGTAAGTGCATGGTGGAGATGTTGCTTTAATTCTACATTCTACTGCTTAAATCACCACCTAGAATTCATTAGTTTGCTATATATTGTCTCTTGACATCGGAGTAAGGCATGGTGGAACCACTAAAAAATGTACCTAAGTGCTTTCTACAAAAGGGATACCATTATTCCATTATTTTTTTTTTTTTTTCTGCTAGCTTTTAACCCTCATTAGAACAAAAGTATGGTTTTGGTGTGAGAGACAAATTTGGTGGTACGTGTAATAACTGTTTTGTACTGTGCCTGAGATCTGGTTCCCGTTGAGGGCAATTACTGTTGAATTACATTAAACATCTTTGACACTGACTTAGTAATAAGCAGCAAGGAAGCTTCAGACAATTTAAATAACATTAAGGTGGGGAAAGGGGGAAAGAGAGAAAAAAAAGGGAACAGAAATTGTTTATGAAAGCTGAGCTCAAAAAAACTGCAAAGTGGATTATTACTTGTGGTTGTAGTATTGGACAGAAAAAATCTTACATAGGGACTTGTGAAGTATAATATCAAAACTACAGCTAGAGTTTAAGCACACACCTTTTGCAGCTTTCAGGAGTCCATTCAATATTATGGAAAAAGTTACCATATGCTTTTGACTTCACAGACAGCTGTTCAGTGCCTGATGGCCTTTTTCAAACTTCTCTTTAAAGTCGTATTCATACTGGATCGCTTTCCAACTTTAAAGTAGTATGTCCAGGCTTATTACAACCTGTCTTCAACATTTGTCCCTGCCCATGGCAAGGGGGTTGGAACTAGATGTTCTTAAGGTCCTTTCCAACCCTAACTCTTCTATGATTCTATGATTTAATACAGTTTATTACCCTTTCCTGTTGTTAAATCTCAAAGAAGATGCAGGGATAAAGCAGGGATAAAATGCTTTGTCTTTTCTCTAAGATAAAACCCAAAGATGCATTTGGAAGATCTGGCAAGACAACACAACCTGAAGTACCATGTATATGCAGTTATCTGCTCTTCCTATTTTGTATCAAATAAATAGCTCTATTCCCAGCTTCATAAATGCTTGCCTGAAACCATCCATGAGGAATGTCCCGAGCACAAACAAGGCTGATATAAGCTGGGGTGGGGGGTGGGGTGGAGAGAGAGAGAGAAAAGGGAAAAAAAAGAGGTGTTTTCTTTGAACAGTATATCATCACTAGAACAAAATTTTGGATCCTCTGAGCTTCTTACTGTTCTAGGATGCCTATTGCTGACTGTATGTGCGCAGAGAGTTTTGCCTTCTTGTCACAGGCAGATGAGGTTACAGCTGCATAGTAGTTACTGACTTCCTGACTCAGTCATCACATAAAAATTCATTGTTTTTGCAGATATTAGTATACACCATAGAAGAATTGTTGTAAGATAACTCAATACCATATCTGCTTAAGGACAGAGAATATTTTTATTATGGTTACATGCTGAACAAAATTTAACTACTATTCCAAAAAGGAACCATTGAGATACTTCATTACCTTGGGTTTTACTTGGTTATGAATAGGCTTTTCATCTGCTTTCACTAGGTAAAGGAAAGAATATAAAAGGCAGAGAATGAAACTTTTTTTTTTGGGAAAAACCCAAAACAAACATGAGTGGTATGCATTCTAATGTAAGAAGTTGTCTTAAGCAAACTTTCAGGGGCATCATTTAACGAGAAATGGAAAGAGATTCTCTAATCTTTCGTAGGACAAGCCTGTTGTCAAAGCAGGAAATATTCTCAAGCTCATTTCAGTTTCTTAGATGATTTAAAATTATCTTTCAAGTTATATGAGATGTGGGAAACCATGTATCTGAGTCTTATTTGAGAAGCATGTTCAACAATGGAACTGCATATATCATATTCACTTCAGCATTAATAACTTTTAAATTCTGATTCATACTGCAGTCTCTTTTGTTCCTTCAGATCATTCCCAAATCTTTTTCAAGATAATCTTAAAAAAAATTAGTTCTGTCTTGGCAGATATGTGTTCCTTGATCTGTTGTGTAGGTGTTTTCCAAAGCATGTCTTGAGCAACTGTAGTTGGTATTCCTTAGACCTGTATTAAGAATATATCACACATTGGAAATGTAACTGAACATTTGGATTACGGTCATCTTAAACTGCATTTTCACATATTCCTTTAGGATAAGGGCCTCAGAGATTTCCAATTATCTGTGAAACAAAGCTGTCTGATTGTAATGCTTGCTGTAATAGTGGAGTGAAAAAGTATCATGGCTGCTTGTTCAGTGACTGGACATGACCTAGAGAGCTCCATGTTTAGTTAAAAAAATATTTCACTCTTGACTGAAGTTCTTAATGCTTTATAGACTCATTCTGTGAGCTGGCAGCAGTGTAAGTCAGAAGCAGGTGTACTCAAATAAGAATATTTTGGGCTGATACATGTGTGGTATTAATGGGAATTAGACTCCCTTAACAAACAAATATACTTGCAGACAGAACTGCAAAAATTTTTCCCCTAATCTAATAAATAGCAGCTAAGACCAGTTTCTCCTAATGAAGCCTGCTGTTTAAATATTTCACTAATATACAAAGTTCATTTAAACATAGACATGCACCAGGCTAACATAAAGTAGCAACTTCAGATCAAAAAGATGCTATAAATAATGCAAGAAGACATAACAAATTTCACTATCCTTTTGTCTTCTGTTCTCATCCACTGGAATTTTTTTTACTTTTTTTTTTTTTTTTTAATCTCAGAACTCTCACTTGATCATGTATCACTGACCCTAGGTTTTATTCTTCACTGCAATGTAGCTGTTGTAGTGCTAACTCCCATATCTTTAGCATACCCAGGAGAGAAAAGTGCCCTGGAAAAGTCTGCTCATTTGTTACAGAAAGCTCCCTTTATATTTCACAGGTATTTTAAAACAGACCAAAGAGAATTCTGACATTGCAGTGGATGCTTGTTCCTTTTGCAGGTTTAACTTCTGTGAATTAAACTAGATGTTCTGCAAAGAGGTTAATTTTTATTTTGAATCTATCCCATCTTTTCAGATAATTCAGTAGACTAATTAGGGCATCTAGATGGGACAACAGATGAGGTCAAAGGGAAAAACACAGAACCAATTTCAAGCTTCTGAATCAGATCAGAGATTTGATTTCTTCTTAGCCTCAAAACAAAATAATGCTTTTTCTTTTTTTTTTTTTCCGAGCCTTGTTAGAAATCTAAAAACACAAAGTTTTATTAAAGGGCTAAATTATTCTGATTTTGAAAAGCATGGCTATATCAGCTATATATTGGAGTAATGGTTATGGCCAAAAGGGATTTTTTTTTGTAACTAATGCTGATAGTGATGCCAACTTTTCTTGTTTTGTTCTTCACTCCTCTTCATTTTCTTTCTATTCCCTCAAAAAATAGTAAAGTGTAGTCAGTATGCAATGCCCCTTTGTTAGGAAGGTGTTTTAAAGAAACAACCTAACATTCAGCTAAGTAAGCACTGCAGCCACACTTTTAATTAATGCCATTAGTATATAAAAGGCAATGTATTTGTTAATGTAATACCTATATTTAACTTTGTACAGCCAGGAAAAGAAGCAATTACATTTCATTTCATGGATTAAACATAATCCTAATGGGCACAGCATGGAAGCCTTTGCCAGTAATAAATACGAATTTGCTGTTTGACATTTGGAGATCACTTTGTCATCAGTTCTAGTTTAAGAAAAGTGATTTCAATACTCACCACTAAAAGTAATATAATCTGAAAGAAATAATTAGTAGTGGAAGAACCAAGAAAGTAGCAAAGGCATAAAAAGCAGCCAAAGAGGTAGGAATTAGGTTTTTACTTACTTTTTTCTATTGATAATCAATAAAAAGACTGTTCCCACAACTGCTTGGAAAGAACAGTGAAAAGTAAAAATTATTTTCCTCAACATTTTTTAAAAGGGTTTAAAAGTTAAATGTCTTCCCAATAATGGAATATACTGGAGCAAGTAAATTTGAGACAAACCATGGTGAAGTTTCTCTATTTTTGTCTTTCTGTAACATTTCTGAGTTAGGTCTGCTTAGGTGGAACACCTAAATACATTTGGTCTGAGTTTTTCAGTTCAGTTACCAAATCAGGAATATATTGTTTACACAACTGTCTTTCATCTTTTCTCTATCTTCATCTAAGCCCATAGACCTTTGATTCACATCTCTCAGACTCATGATTCTCCAGTATCCAAAACTCCTGGGGCTTACAGATTCTATGACTTCAGACATAGCTTGATCAGACAGCTTGCCCTGAAGCAGGGACTCCATTCCTTTTATCAGGGAATTTTGAAATTACTGGTATTTTTTTCTGAACTGGGGAGGAGCATCTACTTAACCACAGGCATCCACCTTGGATTCTAGTACTGGGAATTTATCCTGTGGGTTTGACTCATTCATTGTCCTTATTTACGCCTGTGAATTTATATTATATTAATTTCCATCTGTGTTTTTGTTTGCACCTGTGCAGAATGTCTATGAAATGCTGCCATTCTGGTTTGGTAGCAGTTTAGCTTTTCATCATGTATATCTACCTGAGGGGTAAGGCTGCAGGGAAGCAGACTTGTTGTATTTAATAAATGAGTTGCCCTAATTTCAGCGCTCTCTAATTATTGTCTAAAATCTGAGCAGGCAAAAAATACTTCAGACTCACAAGCTTGTTCCTACCAAAATGTTTGATTGTTACACATTATTAACAAAAAACAAAACAAAACATTGTGACACATTAAACAGTAAGTATTTGTATTTCCAGATTAACAGAGCAAAACTTCCTTACTGGAAAATGACCTTGCTAAATGTCTGCAATCTTGTCAACAACATAAACAACCAAGTGGGGGATACAGTAGAGGTAGATGAAGAGGATCTCGTTTCAGGAAGACAGTTTCCTGCTGCTCTGGATGGCTTCAGCTTGGAAGCAATGCTGACAGTATATCAACTTCAAAAAGTTTGCCACAGCAGAACCTTTCAGCATTGGGAGGTAAAACAAACTGTCATAAATGCATGTTTCAGCTGGTGTTAAACTCTTATGCTCAGTTTGCAATGATTTTTTTAAAACCCATACCCATGTGATACCCATCATATTACTTGAGCTTTTCTTCCGTTTCTTATACTCTCTAATACCTCTAATATGCCTCTTATTGAAAGAGATGCGAATTAATGTAGTTTCTGATGAGTTGAGTGTCTCTTTTATATTGACTCATGGATAAATGAGAGCTATTCTCAATTATGCATCTTCCCCACTCTTTGTACCCATTCCAAGGAACAAAACAAACACATGAAAGTGAGATGTATGCCAGAACACAAAAGTAGTACCTGTTTAACAGACATGAAGTTACTGCAGATTTACTGAGGCAGAGTTTCTGAAAACACTTTTAAGGCCCTAAGGCAAACTGGGTTCAGAATGCATGGACATGCCCACATATACATGTACTTTTACCAGGCAGTATAGGCTTATTATTGCTAGGAAACCAGCAAGGGAATTGTTGATTTTTGCTTCCTCACACCTAAAGGCAACCCTGGAATTCAACATTGTAGTTGTATAACTATTGTTGTTCTTAAATAGTGATTGTTTGTAGTCCATTTCTGATACTTACCTCAGTGCAGTGATCATACAGAGGTGCACTGGGCACAAGCCACTTGTGTTATATATTACACTAAAAGCTGCTTTGCAGAGTGAAAAGAGTTATTCTTATGTCACTACGCACTTCCCAGTAAAGCCAGTTTCTTCAGCTATTGCAGGTTCATGGACAGTCTGGCTGAATCTTGATCCTCTTTTATTTGCTGAATCACAGCTCTGTATTTGCAGGCTTATTCTTAGTCCTTCATACTAGCTCGGGTGGTCCCTATGAAAGACTGTGACACCTTTGAGAACCAGAGTTTCTTGAGGATTCTCTTCATCTCTTCATTTATTGCTGAAAAGGAGCTAGCACAGAACTCACTGTATGCACTAACACATATGACATAATCACAGTTCCTTACTTTGCAGTTACATCACCTCTTCTGGTGGTTGGGAATAATCACTCCTAACAGTACTGCATGTGAAATTGAAAAAAAAATATCAAAATATTTCTCTCTCAGCTTAAGCAGTGCAGAGGTTTATAAGACACACTAAATGAAGCGATAGAGCCAGAGGGAGAAGGCTTGGGGAAGGCTTGAAGAAGGCTTGAAATGAACAATTTATGTGATGAAGGAAGTTCTTGTGATCTTATTCATCCAGGACTGACTCCAAAGTCTGTTGCAACCATGAGAGTCTTTCAATTCATTTAAATAGAATTTAGGTGACCACTCATTCATCAAGTAATTGAGTGACAGAGTTTGATTGCTTAAGGAAATACTGGGGTAAGTACAAAAAACATTTCAGTCTAATGCCTTTCAGCCAGGACTGTACTTGACCATGGAAGAACATGGTGAGAGAATGGATGAAATCTTAACAGATAAAGCAATGCGGAATCTGAGCAAAATACTTCAAAAACTCCAAGTAAAACTCAAAATAACAGTTATATAAGAAATTCTGATAAAATATTTGCTTTCTTGTGCTTTATTTAATTTCTTATTTATTACATGTTTTGATTTTTTAGCTGTAGGAAGTTGCAGATAAAAATATTGCTCAAAAGCTGAAACCAGCTAGCAGTGGGTGTTTTAGGAGGTGTTTGGCCTAAATGAGTGATTATAGAGTGACAATCATTAGGAAGTTTTCAGTCAATTTGACTGAAATATAACAGGTTTTCTCTTGAGGCAAAAGCAATGATCTTGTTTCTTTTAATGGAATTTAATTGCCACATCCATAGGATTCGGCTCATCTTTAGTGTGATCCTAGTTTTGTGTCTTAATTATTTTTTTTTTAAAACCTGCAACTGCTGTAGTAAAGATTTTTCTTGGTGTCAGGTGTTAAAATAAAGTTTTATAAAATTTCTAGGAATTTATAATCTTCATCACCAAAAAAGCTGTTAACGTTGCGTCTCTTCTTGCATCCTACAGTTACTTCAGCAAGATGCTTTTGATCTAGACACCTCAAGCCAAGACAAGGAAATAATGAAAAGAAAAAATCCCTATATTCTGAAACGGCAGCTACATGTGAACAAAGCTAGAAGACCATACATACTCAAAAGAAGTTCATATTACTGATGCAGCAGAAGAAAAAAATGTATATTTAGTTTCTAGGTTACTGTGTGTTATGGTTATCTTATTTAAATCTAAAATCATATTTGTGTGAAAATATATTATGGAAAATCATCAGGTTGATAACATAACTGTCTTTTTTGCAATTGTTGTTTTGATTGTGATTTTTCCTACTTGAGATTAATTGGACCAATACATTTGCAAATAAATTAGTTTCTAAGCATGATGTATTGTACAAAACTGAGATTTCAGTGTATTTCCAACAATATTGTAGTCTTTTCCTATTTTATAAAGCACATCAACATAAACTAAGTAAAATTGATACTGTTCATAAACCCTACTGAGAATCTTACAATTTCCTAATGGAACACCTCATATATACATTTGAAAATTTTTATATAATATACTAGTCAGAACTAGCACAATATTTTATATATTGGCCAGTTGAATTTATTAGGGATTAGGTCGAAGGAAAGAAACAAATGCTATCATCTATTAAATGGAAGTTTCAAAATTCATGTTTTAAATAGCCTGCATGTAAATGAATTTTTATTTTTTGACTCTTAACTTGCCACTGAATATTCATAATTTAAGAAAACTATACATAAATGAGACTTCAAGAAAATATGCTAGTGAGAACAAACCCTGCTTTAGAGTCTTGTGTATCACTGACTAAATATGAAAAGAGTTTATTAAATCAGTAAAAGAATTTACAGTGTTTACCTAATGAATGAATGCTCAGGAAAAAAAAATAAAGAAAAAAAATAAAAAAGCTGATTTATGCTCCTGTGCTGTCACTGTTAAGATACTAAACTGGTTATATGGGAAACTTGAGAGAGAGATTTAAAAGTGGAATTAAAATTAAAGCATCTTTAACTACTTACAATTAAAAGGCATTTCCTTTCCCTCCCTCTCTATATTTGTAATAAAACCAGGCAGTGTCAGGGGTTAAAGGCAGTCATGGAAGCTGATTGAGAGGGAAGCTTCCAGCATGGAAAAGTTTGTTTTCAAGCCATGAGGAATCAAATGCCACCTGAAGCACATTTTCCATCTCTGTGTCTGTGATGTGTACATAAAACTCAGAATCCCAATGATCCAGGTTCCAGTGTTGAAGAAAACAGCCTGAAGGAACTGGGGGTCACAACAACAGTGAAAATAGAGGGATAGTCTAAGACCCACAAAGCCTGGATGCTCAAACCAGGAGGCAAAAACTGTCAGGCATTGCTTTTGAAAACCTACCTGTTTTCTGTTTGAGGTACTTTTTCAAAGCAATGGTGTTCCAACAGACTGTCAGAAAAACAAAACAAAAAAGCAAAACAAAAACAAAACAACCACTCAGAGAATTTCCACATCCTCTCACAGGTCAGGTTTTCTGTCAATTATTATTAAACATATACAGGAATATGCATAGAAAAAACATACCTATACCAGTGGTTATACCAACTCTCTTACGTGAGAGAGATGTTGGATTTTTTTCACAGTAAAATGTATTTTTACTATATGAGAGCTAATTATATTTTATTTTCTCACTGCAAATGTTATTAATCAGTTTATTTCTTCAGTAGCCACTAAATGCATGTGCTCATAGGATATAACTGAGCATATACTAATAACTGTAATAGTCATTATGACTTGAGTACAGGAAAGCACTTAAACATGTTTGGTCTCAATGTTTTAAATGTTTAATGTTCTTAAGGGTTTTGCTTAAATAAGGTTCTAGTAGATTCATACCCATTATTTTTTTATGAAACAGTCATAGTATTAGACCAGAGACACAGGATGCTCTCAAGTGACTAAGAAACATCTCTCTTTCTAACAAACCTACTAGCTCCCTAGTCCGGTTATGAACACTTTAAATTCTAAATTACCTGTTGGTCTGAAATAACAAAGCAGAACAGAGTTTATCCCAAAATTTACTGCTAGCAATATATAAGGAAGAAAGGAATTTCAGATCATGATTTCAAAGAGAACATGGAAGAGTAAGACAAACATAAATGGATTGACATGATATTTTGCTCTTATGTTCAGTTTAAGAGCATAAGAATAAAAAAAAAATAGGGTAAGGTAATGTGGTTGATATGTGATAGAGAATGTTAAAATTTAAAAAAAAAAGCCCACCCTTTCATGTTTTGGATGTGATTTAGATATTCAGGGTGATGGCAGAGGACCTCAAATGATGATGGGTAGCCATTCCATCCTCATGTAATGCTCCACACTGAAACGAGGTTTATACTGTGACTGTGTACTTGTTCCTTGCAGTGCAGAGTTAGCCTACTAGCCAGACAGACTGGCTGAAAATGGCTTAAAATAACCCATTTGCTTTCAGCACAATGTGAATCCACACAGGGTCAGCTACTGTGTGTGACTGGAGGGGGTAGGTTGTTCATTTTTCTCTAGCTTCTGATGGAGGTGTTCAGGAAGCTTCCAGAGGATGTTATCAAGAGTGAAAGACTGTCCTAATTAGAGGAGGAAACAATGTCCATAACTGTAACATGGTCAGTAAAGATGGAAAAGCCAAACTTGGCATTTTAGCTAATTGGGGAAAAGCAAGCATAGAAGCATAAAGATGTTAGAAAACACAAACTATATGATTAACCCATGTAAGCAGAGCTGTTAGAGGGATATTTTGAGGTCTGGGACATCCTTATTTTCTCGAAAGCCCTTCTCATTTCTAGCTGTGTTTACGTCCTGATGACCTCACTGCTGTGGAATTACAGCTTTTAGCCCTCCTTTTTAGATAACAGCAGGAAAAAACAACAACAACAAACCCAAACCCCCCCAGGCCCCCCAACCCCAAACAAGTGAAAAACAGCAGGCTTATACATATTTGTCTCTATTTCACACATTCTTTCTGTGGGATCTTTCAAAATTAATGTTGTATTCATAGCAGGAATGGGTGCTGAACAAACTTCAAGCCAGCATAGGCTTTTACAATATGTAAAGATTCCTACATTTAGGTAGTGCTTTTATTTTTTTTTCATTTTCTTCTTTTCTGAAGCTCATAATTGCCTTAAATTTAAAATGCTGTTTTGAAGACCATTAACTCAGATTGCTACCTTGGCTTAAATAACTGCATCTTAATATGAACAATTTTGTTTTATAAAGGCAATTACTAAGACATTTGCTGTCTGTCTCTGCAGAGGAACACATTTTTCCTACCTATTCCATTGCTGATGTTTCTACGAAGTTCATAGATGAATAATTATACCAATTATTCAAAAACTTTATACTTAATCATTTCTCATACTCCTAAAATATTGGATATTGTCATACAGAGCAATTGCAGAAACCTCTTAGCTATTTCTAATGTAGAATTAAATGTAACTGAGATTTAATTTGATTTTATATATTTTAGTAGCTATCATCCATAATATTACCAATGCCTTATACAAGTAAATCCTAGAGAAATGAATGATTTTATCATTTCTGATGCATATATTTGTTAGTTTTTCTTAAAAAAAAACAACCCATAAAATAATAATTACTGTTCTCAAGGTTAAGTGTGGTGGTAAGTCTTCATCTTTCCTGAGTCTTGCTTGTGGTGTACTACAAAATTTGCTGTTTTGTCTTCTTGAGTAAGAGTTGAAACTTTATTATGTGTTTTAGATCAGAATTTAATGGTTTTGGTGTGAATTTTGCAGATTGAAAGAGATTTAATTATGTGATGTATGACTGTGGCTATGCCTCATGCACTACTCCGAACATGCAATGGAGACATGACAATTTGGTCTTGATCTGTATTCCTCTTCTCCAAGATCAGTGATCAGTTTGCACTATGCAATATCAAATTGAACACACAAGCCATCACTATAATACTTGAGTGCAGGAGGGCAGAAAGAGAAGCAGGTTCTTCTGAAATTCCCCAAGGTTCTAGGCTGATCATTGACGTTCTCCACATCTAAATTACTGGGCTTACTGCAGGCAGTCATAAAACAAGAGTTGCAGAGAACCTGCAAAATAAAATATACTGACTCCTGTGACGTCACTGTTGTCAGAACTTGTACCTTGCTGTCCAGGAAGCAAAGGAAGTAGGGGAAGGGGTTGGTCTTCACAGGGAACCTGGGGAATGAGATTTTCATTGCAACCAAATTCAAACATTCAGAAGTCATGAATAAGGCTGAGAAAACCTGCAAATAAATAAATAAGTAAACAGATAAATAAATCCCCCTAACGTCTAAATAAAGTAATAAATAGACAAAACTATTTTTATTTTCTGGAATGCCAGGGAACATGTGAATCACATTTTTAAGTTTTATTGACAAAAGAAGTGAAACTATATTTGCTTTTATTCATTTCTACTGAAAAATTGACATTCTCATCCAATCTTTTGAATCTAGTAGGTGTCACATTAAAACACACACAAAAGCACAATGTGGATTATCTCATTTTAAAACTTGTCAGATCCATCATTCTTGGATAGGCCTGACAGACCTAATAATCAGAGAGTAGACTAGAAAGAACTTTGTGGCACCTCATTAGTAGGCAGGCTTTGGCTGGCTGAAGGACTCCTATGAGGTGGCAATATGGGGAATGGCATCCTGGGAGCCACTCAAGAACTCCTTCAAAGGAGTGTCAGCTATTAAGAAACCTGAAGCCTTCAGGAGCTTTAAGTTGCCCAAGTAAGATTTGCTTTTCCTAAGTAGATGGCAGTGTTCAGCTGTTGGCTCAGGAGACGCCTCACGTCTCATGCAGAAGGAAAAATAGGACTATACCTAACTGAACTTGAATTAGCAAGGAATAGTATTTGTTTGAGGTCCCAGCAGGACAAGTAGCAGTCTGTTTTGTCTCAAAAGTTACAGTGCTGTTTCTTGAAGTTCCATTGTAGGAATCTTTTTCAGGATAAGTTTCGTTTATGTGTATATAAGGGGCTTCTCAGATAGTCTATACATTGCTCTCTTAAATGACTGCCAGCAGCCTGAGGACCTCAGTCCAGATGTAATGTCTAAGCTGCTTAAAAAATGTCAGCAATAGGTGAATGAAAAAACTGTTGGGTTTGTACATCAGTGAATATGATCTTGAAGATAGACTGGAAATATTCTAAAAGACAAGCTTGGCATCATTACTGCAGCTTTTCTGATTCATTATTTAAAAATCCAAGCTGCAGAACAGATTTTTATAATCCCATATTTTTGAATTTAAGATTCTTCCCTCCCCACCCCGATCAATATTTAGCTCATCTAAAAGAAATGTATGCACCAAAAAAAAAAAAAAAGAAAGGAGAACAAATATGTGCGTTATTTTCTTAAAGAAAGTTGTCACAGAGCAACATGACTTGGGAATGACTTGGAAATAATTTTGTCTGGAATGAGTTGTGTGGTTTTTCCATTTTTTTTTTTTTTAACCATATTTTCTCTATGCATTTAAAAGCAACTGTTGCTAGAATCTAATATTGAAGCTTTTTGTTAAGATGCAAAAGTTCAATTTAGTTGATTCAATGAATAATTCGTATGCTTAAAAAAATCCTCCTAAAAAAAAGTAAAGATTTCCTCTTTTATAGAAGGTATAAAGAAGGTCTTAGAAATAACTTACTTAGTAGTTCTTGCATGAATGAAATTTCTTGGTTATTTTTGTGTACTGCAAAATCCTTACAGTAGTTGTGTAGCATATATACTGCAGTTGTGTTTTGGTATCTTATTTAATGATCTTTTAAAAAAAAGCAGGCAACGTGCATTTTGTTCATTATAAAAAAAGAAATAATAATAAAAAAAGCCACACAGAGCAAAATTATGTGTATATATATGGCCACAAATGAAGAGTTTATTCAAGTTATTCTGAATTTTTTAACAAATGAAGTATAACTTATGGGGATATGTAACTACAGAATACTAAGGTATGCTACTTCCGCCATCTGCTGCAGAAATAACAAGTAAGGACACAAATATCTAAATGTTTGTCTTTATTATGCAGAAGGCACTGAAGTATTAAGATTGCAGCTGGTTTTGAAGCTGATATCCTTGGTGAATACTTAAGTTCCATTCTCCTCAAAAGTTTCCATTTACTGAAGACATTTTTTTCATAATAGCAGAGTTAAGAGTTACTATTCCAAGACCTTGTCCATGGAGTATTAGGGAGTTATGAACATTTTTATTTTAAATAAACATTGCATGTACCTCCACTTTACATTTGTGGTTTTGCAGATTTCAGTGTTAAGAGAGATGACCTGAAAAGGGCTGTAAGGGAATAAGCAAATGGGAAAGAAGCTACAGGCAGATAAGGGACTTAATGAGAAAATGTGGGAAGATGTTAACTGAATATTCCTTCTGTCTGACTCCATCCAAACAGCGTCAGACCTGGCTGAGGCATGGGTCATATGTATGTGGAGGGAGGGAGGGAGAAAGGAGGGGAAAGTCAAGGAGAAGGGAGGAAAGGGAATCTAATACTGAGTTAAGTCTTGCTACATCAGTGTTAGTTGACTAAAGTGTACATAGCCTGTATGAACTAGAAGATACAGGATATTCTGGAAGAAAAAAATAAGAGTTCCCAGCAGAGGACAGCAAGGACAACCATGTGACACCCATTCCCAACACTTCCCTTGAACTATGAAAAGCAGCCTGAAACTGAGAGGCTTCAAATTTAGAGTTTTTAAGCTGAAACTGGAACAACTAAATAAAGCTGATCAGGAAAAGGAAAGAGTGGGTGGCAAGGGTCATGGGTG